GACAAGGGTGCCCACTCTCACCACTACTATTCAACATAGTTTTGGAAGTGTTGGCCACAGCAATCAGGGCAGAAAAAGAAGTAAAAGGAATCCAGATAGGAAACGAAGAAGTGAAACTCTCGCTGTTTGCAGATGACATGATCCTCTACATAGAAAACCCTAAAGACTCTACCAGAAAATTACTAGAGCTAATCAACGAATACAGTAAAGTTGCAGGATATAAAATTAACACACAGAAATCTCTTGCATTCCTATACACTAACAATGAGAAAACAGAAAGAGAAATTAAGGAAACAATACCATTCACCATTGCAACAAAAAGAATAAAATACTTAGGAGTATATCTACCTAAAGAAACAAAAGACCTATACATAGAAAACTATAAAACACTGATGAAAGACGTCAAAGAGGACACAAACAGATGGTGAAACATACCGTGTTCAAGGATTGGAAGAATCAATATTGTCAAAATGGCTATACCACCCAAAGCAATCTATAGATTCAATGCAATCCCTATCAAACTACCAACGGTATTTTTCACAGAACTAGAACAAATAATTTCACAATTTGTATGGAAATACAAAAAACCTCGAATAGCCAAAGTAACCTTGTGAAAGAAGAATGGAACTGGAGGAATCAACCTGCCTGACTTCAGGCTCTACTACAAAGCCACAGTCATCAAGACAGTATGGTGCTGGCACAAAGAACTATAGATCAATGGAACAGAATAGAAAGCCCAGAGATAAATCCACGAACCTATGGTCACCTTATCTTCGACAAAGGAGGCAAGGATATACAATGGAAAAAAGACAACCTCTTTAACAAGTGGTGCTGGGAAAACTGGTCAACCACCTGTAAAAGAATGAAACTAGAACACTTTCTAACACCATACACAAAAATAAACTCAAAATGGATTAAAGATCTAAATGTAAGACCAGAAACTATAAAACTCCTAGAGGAGAACATAGGCAAAACACCCTCCGACATAAATCACAGCAGGATCCTCTATGACCCACATCCCAGAATTTGAGAAATAAAAGCAAAAATAAACAAATGGGACCTAATGAAACTTAAAAGCTTTTGCACAACAAAGGAAACTATAAGCAAGGTGAAAAGACAGCCCTCAGACTGGGAGAATAGCAAACGAAGCAACAGACAAAGGATTAATCTCAAAAATATACAAGCAACTCCTCCAGCTCAACTCCAGAAAAATAAATGACCCAGTCAAAAAATGGGCCAAAGAACTAAACAGACATTTCTCCAAGGAAGACATACAGATGGCAAAAAAACACATGAAAAGATGCTCAACATCACTCATTATCAGAGAAATGCAAATCAAAACCACAATAAGGTACCATTACACGCCAGTCAGGATGGCTGCTATCCAAAAGTCTACAAGCAATAAATGCTGGAGAGGGTGTGCAGAAAAGGGAACCCTCTTACACTATTGGTGGGAATGCAAATTAGTACAGCCACTATGGAAAACAGTGTGGAGATTTCTTAAAAAGCTGGAAATAGAACTGCCATATTACCCAGCAATCCCACTTCTGGGCATACACACCGAGGAAACCAGATCTGAAAGAGACACGTGCACCCCAATGTTCATCGTAGCACTGTTTATAATAGCCAGGACATGGAAGCAACCTAGATCCCCATCAGCAGACGAATGGATGAGGAAGCTGTGGTACATATACACCATGGAATATTACTCATCCATTAAAAAGAATCCATTTGAATCAGTTCTAATGAGATGGATAAAACTGGAGCCCATTATACAGAGCGAAGTAAGCCAGAAAGATAAAGACCATTACAGTATACTAACACATATATATGGAATTTAGAAAGATGGTAATGATAACCCTATATGCAAAACAGAAAAAGAGACTCAGATGTATAGAACAGACTTGTGGACTCTGGGAGAAGGCGAGGGTGGGATGTTTCAAGAGAACAGCATCGAAACATGTATATTATCTAGGGTGAAACAGATCACCAGCCCAGGTTGGGTGCATGAGACAAGTGCTCGGGCCTGGTGCACTGGGAAGACCCAGAGGGATCGGGTGACGAGGGAGGTGGGAGGGGGGACTGGGATGGGGAATACCTGTAAATCCATGGCTAATTCATTTCAATGTATGACAAAAACCACTGCAATGAAGTAAAGTAATTAGCCTCCAACTAATAAAAATAAATGGAAAAAATAAAAAATAAAATAAAATAATACATTACACTTTACAATTAGTCTTTTATTCTATAGTTCATAAGAGGTGATACTCAATTTCTCAATTTAGATAGCAAAAACTTATATTACCAAACTATAAGGTGGCAAGAATACACAAAGAACTGTACAAAAAAGATTTTCACGACCCAGATAATCACAATGGTGTGATCACTCACCTAGAGCCAGACATCCTGGAATGTGAAGTCAAGTGGGCCTCAGGAAGCATCACTATGAACAAAGCTAGTGGAGGTGATGGAATTCCAGCTGAGCTACTTCAAATCCTGAAAGACGATGCTGTGAAAGTGCTGCACTCAATATGCCAGCAAATTTGGAAAACTCAGCAGTGGCCACAGGACTGGAAAGGTCAGATTTCATTCCAATCCCAAAGAAAGTGAAGTGAAGTCACTCAATCGTGTCCCACTCTTTGCGACCCCATGGACTGTAACCTACCAGACTCCTCTACCATGGGATTCTCCAGACAAGAATACTGAGTGGTTGCCATTTCCTTCTCCAGGGGATCTTCCCAACCCAGAGATCGAACCCGGGTCACCTGCATTGCAGGCAGACGGTTTACTGTCTGAGCCACGAGGGAAACAATGCCAAAGAATGCTCAAACTACCACACAATTGCATTCATCTCACACGCTAGCAAAGTAATGCTCAAAATTCTCCAAGCCAGGCTTCAGCAGTACATGAACCGTGAACTTCCAGATGTTCAAGCTGGTTTTAGAAAAGGCACACGAACCAGAGATCAAATTGCCAACATCTGCTGGATCATCAAAAAAGCAAGAGAGTTCAAGAAAAACATATATTTCTGCTTTATTGACTATGCCAAAGCCTTTGACTATGTGGATCACAATAAACCGCGGAAAATTCTGAAAGAGATGCGAGTACCAGACCACCTGTCTTGCCTCTTGAGAAATCTGTATGCAGGTCAGGAAGCAACAGTTAGAACTGGACATGGAAAAACAGACTGGTTCCAAATAGGAAAAGGAGTACGTCAAGGCTGTATTTTGTCACCCTGCTTATTTAACTTATATGCAGACTACATCATGAGAAACACATGGAGGAAACACATCTGGAGGAAACACAAGCTGGAATCGAGATTGCCGGAAGAAATATCAATAACCTCAGATATGCAGATGACACCACCCTTATGGCAGAAAGTGAAGAAAGAGTAAAGAGCCTCTTGATGAAAGTGAAAGAGGACAGTGAAAAAGTTGGCTTAAAGCTCAACATTCAGAAAACTAAGATCATGGCATATGGTCCCATCACTTCATGGCAAATAGATGTGGAAACAGTGGCTGACTTTATTTTTGGGGGCTCCAAAATCACTGCAGATGATGACTGCAGCCATGAAATTAGAACACGTTTACTCCTTGGAAGGAAAGTTATGACCAACCTAGACAGCATATTAAAAAGCAGAGACACTACTTTGTCAACAAAGGTCTGTCTCGTCAAAGCTATGGGTTTTCTAGTAGTCATGTATGGATGTGAGAGTTGGACCATAAAGAAAGCTGAGCATGGAAGAACTGATGCTTTTGAACTGTGGTGTTGGAGAGGACTCTTGAGAGTCCCTTGGACTGCAAGGAGATCCAACCAGTCCATCCTAAAAGAGAGCAGTCCTGGGTGTTCATTGGAAGGACTGATGCTGAAGCTGAAACTCCAGTACTCTGACCACCTGATGCGAAGAGCTGACTCATTTGCAAAGACCCTGATGCTAGGAAAGATTGAAGGTGGAAGGAGAAGCGGACAATAGAGGATGAGATAGTTGGATGGCATCACAGACTCGATGGACGTGAGTTTGAGTAAACTGTGGAGTTGGTGATGGACAGGGAGGCCTGGCGTGCTGTGGTTCACGGGGTCGCAAAGAGTCAGACACGACTGAGCGACTGAACTGAACTGATACTGTGTATCTGGGTACTGACTAATTGATACTTGGGGTCAATTAAAAATAGATAACTTGGTTAAATAATTGTCAATAAAAACATAAAATGTTTTCTGTAAATCAGAGGCAGCTATAAATTAAATGCCCCATTTTTAGGTTGACTGAGCACCTTTCCCATTTAAGCATAAACCTACAGTGTAAAAATGAGGCAGTTTTACAAGCACAGTGATAGTTATCTAGTAAACAATTTACAGTAGGAACACTTATCTTCTAATAGTAATTACATTTCTTCTTCCATTTAAAAATACATGATCAGAGATTAATAAGTAAATAGAAAGTTAATTAAGAAAGATTATACTCTAAAAAATAATCAATATTACAAATATAAGGTAGTTTTTATAAGAAAGCCACATGTTTCCCATCCTGCATTAAGTATCTGTTAAGAACTATTCTTACACAATTATTTGGCCATCAAATAACTAACAGCTGTGTTAGCTGTTAGCACAGAGCACGACACTGCTGTGGGCTTCCACGGTGGCTCTGGGATAAAAATCCCACCTGCAATGCAGGAGACACAGTTTCGATCCTGGGTAGGGAAGACCCCTGGAGGGCATGGCAGCTCACTCCAGGATGCTTTCCAGGGGAATCTCACAGACAGAGGAGCCTGGGGGGCTACAGTTTATGGGGGCGCCAAGAGTTGGTCATGACTGAAGCACACACTCACGCATGGCACAGCCATGGGAGAAAAATCCATTCTTCAAGCAGGCGTTTTAAATTAATAAGCTGATTATATGAAATACTGCCTTAAAATATGTGCTGCATCCAGAGCAAAACCACGAAAATCCAAAAAGTCAAGTCACAGAAGTGGTCCAAGTTTATGAGAAATAATGCTATTTACCTTGGCTCTGCGCTCAGACTTATTACATTTTTTTGTGGCAGAGAACTTTGCGTTCTTTGTTTCAAATCCTAGAAAAATGAACAGAAGTTTTTATTTTACTTTTAAAACAAGTTTCAAAATTAGCTGTGTAATAATATCTTGAAGAAAACATGAAAAGGGCACAGTAGAAAAAACAAACCTCTTTCCAGCTACATAAAGTCCATCCAAGTTCAAAGTAAGCAAATCTTGTGTCTATGAATATGTATTGTGTATTTAGATTTTAAGCATGGCATATGTTGCAGGGACTAGAACCCATAATGTGTAGTTCTAATTAGTAACCAAATAAATCAGAGTTCTAGAAACAATTCTGCAGAAAGTTTTACTATGTTACTTTGTGTCACATGCTTCATATCTTTAGAAACATAAGTTTAATAAATAAAAAACAATTTTAAAATATCTGAGTTGCTAAGTAGAAGTGTAAAGAAGATGTCAATAAACAAATTTTGAACCGTTCCTCCTTGCTGTGGGTACCATGCTCTTCCTCTCAGGGCACGGTCTGTTTCACTAACTCACTTGACCCTAACAAGCTAAGGCATGCATCATTCTGTTTCACAGATGAGTGACCAAGGGCTCACAGATATAAAGCAACTTCCTCACCCCCTGCAGAGGGGCAGCAGTGAGACTAACAGCTACTCTTGTAAGCCCTCATCACAGCTCTGCTCTGACATCTCAGCACTGCCCAGAGCACTCCTTGACTCAGCCTGAAACCAGAGGAAAACCTAGGATCATTCAAATAGAAATGCAGCAAGAACAGGTTCAGGATTTACGGCAGTTCACATATCAAAGAGTTGTTCATTAAAGCTAAGGAAAATAATGAGTATAAGGCCTAGTTACCTCACAATATCATCTTAAGTGTTCTAAAAGTCTGAATGTTTCGCATACCTTGAAATAAGTTCATTATTTCATTTTTCATGCTTAGATTTCATGGGAAAATACACACCATAAATCAAAGAGACACAGGAAAGAAAAACACAAGTAATTTATACAAAGTGATACAAATTATTTCAAATAATATACAAAGAAGTCATCATATTTCAATGTCTCTTTTTATTAAGCTTCTCACTCCCTTTCCCAATCCAAGAAGAAAAGAATCACTCATTTTTATCATGAAAATAGAAGATATTAACTAACCATTTCTAGGAAGGTATCCGAAGAGTAAGAGTCGTATGAGCGTTTGTCCTTCAAAATAAGCAGCAGTGCAGAATGTCCAATTATCTTCTTTAAATTCATCAGCGAATGAAACAGTCTGTGAACCAAAAATTTTACTCATCTGAGAAGTGATTCAAACATTAGTATACAGTATTTTCACAGAGATCAGACTTGTTGCCAGGGAGAGGGGAGGAGTGGATTGGGAGTCTGGGGTTAGTAGACGCAAACTATTATGCACAGAATAGATAAACAATAAAGTCCTACTGTGTAGCACAGGGAAATATATACACCATCCTGTGATATGCCACAACGGACAGGAAAATTTTAAAAATGTGTATATAACTGAATCACTGCTATGCAGTAGGAATTAACAAACTATACATCAACTAATCTGTACACAATATTTTCAGTTGTTTTATTTATGGCCAAACCACCATCATCTTCACCCTGTATTCAAACTAAAACCTATCATGAACCTATGATGAATCTCTACTCTGAATGAAGTACTTAGGGAAAAAAAGTTAAATCAGAAGGTATCACTGGTAAGGATTCATTAAATAGCAAACTTTCTGGACACAGCTGAAACATATAAACTTATCCACACTACTTATATTCTCCATGAATATCATACTAAATAATAACAATAGCCAGCACGATGACCCCAAAAGCTCTAAAGCATTCTACAAATAGCAATGAGTTGATGTTTCACTTTAGAAAAATCTTTAACAAGCATTGAAATAACAACAAAAGAAGACATGAGATTAACTCATTCACAAGAAAATTCAATCAGTATACACACTTCAAAGAATTTAAATTCCTAAAGAATTCTAATATTTTGTTGAATTTAGTTTCATGTTCTTGTTCAAAAGAATTAGAAAAAAGTTTCTCAGATCCAGATAACAAAATTGTCTTTGTCCTTGTTCTACTTCTTTGTCACTGAAAGTCTTAACTGTATTCAAACTGTGCATTTCTGCCTGAGGAACAAAAGAGATGCCTATGAATCGACTGATTCAAGTTCAAATCTAAAATATAATCTTGGAACATTACCAGCTATTGGTGAAGCACTATACATAGGAAAAAAAACTTGCCTTTTTTTTTTTTTTTCAAAGTCCCATCTTATTTCTTCAAAGATTTAGAGAGCAGGTATCCCTAAGTAAACTCATAATGGAGAAATTGGTAGAGAAACTTTCATAGTAATGCTTTCGATCAACCCTCAGATGTTTATAGAGTGATTATATTATTTTCCCCAACACAGAAAGCAATTTTGGATCTATGTGTTAAAATATTTTTGTTTATATTCAACAGCAAAATAATTGTAAAAGAATTAGATAACTTCAAAGATGTAAGTGATCATAATCAGTAAGTTATTAATTAAGTGCATTTACATAGTAAATCTGTAACTACCGTATGAAAATCTTATGGAGTTCAATCATCCAGCTAAATTTCTCATTCTATTCAAATATTTTACTAAATAACAGTGTTTTCATAAGACTAAGAGACCATATATATGAATGAACACAATGCAGTTATGAAAACAACTCCTTCAATCTAAGTTTATTTTTATTATCTACATGGCTATCTTTATGAGGTTATCTGAACCTACAAAATAAAAGTCATGTTCTGCACCTGCTAAAATCTTACTCCTATTAGTGTTTTAGAGAGTCCTGATTAAACTGAATGAATGCCATAAATCAATGTTTGTGTCCTGAAGGCACATATGTAGTCTTCTTATGAGTTAAAGATAGTGCATTTCCCAAATACTTTCTCAAGATGTATAAAGCTATTTTGCTAAAAACAAAATAAAGCTAAACCCAGTAAATAAGTCTGGGAAAAATTGGGAAGAACAGAATTTTATACATTTCAACATTTCATCAGTGTGGTATGAAAATATCCTCTAATTTCCTAATATACCCTTATCGTACCATGAAACAAGTTTAGCAAACACCACTGAGGAATCAGTCTTTAGTCTGTCACCATCGCTGCTGTTTAAAGAGGTGTTCTCACGCTCGTCATTCAATAGTTTAGGCTACATGTTAGGGGCCTCAGTCTCACCCACTGTTCATTCTTTTCTCCTACCTACCTTTATTACAGTTTAGCCACTGTCAGAAGTCTTCATCTCTCTGTAACTGACCTCTTACCGTCCCTTCTTCACACAGTCCCAGGATTCACTGTTAAGCTAAACATCCAGCAAAACACTGCCTAGTCTAATTCATTTTTGATGCCATGATTTTTATGCCGTAATTAGAATTAACCTCCAAATATGCCGCGATGTACCTGTGCTCTCCAATTTATAACTACATCAACACTCAATCCACTGCTGAGAGCATGACTGTGAAGAACGGCCCTGAGAAGGCAGAAGAGAGGGCTAACAGGGCCCGGAGCTCTGAGGGCGCTGCGGAGCTCACACCTGAGCACAGCCTGAAAACGCAGAGGTAGGGCTCATTCAGGTTCCAGGTACTATCACCAGCAGCCGTAGTCAGCTCCTAACGCACACATTTGTTCACAGGGACATCTCTGCCAACATCTGAGTAAGCAGGAGTCAACAATCCAAGAACAGGAAATCACCCAATACTAGCTGCTCCTTTAGTAGTAATTCTCTAACTTGTGTTTTGAAACTTCCTATTTAAAAATGTGTGTGCTAATGACTTGATAATTGTTTATGGCTTTTCAATGAAGCATGAAGGGCTGACAAAGCAGATTTACAAATGTCAAGTACAATGAAAATTACTGTGTCTTTTTTCTCTAAGATGCAGTTTTCTATGGGGATGCTTTTATAAGTTAAAAGCAACACCAAATACATGGAGGAACTAATGGCAGGCCTTCTGGAGAGGTCATGAGACAGAAAATATTCTGTACAAAAGCCCCGTGACCTGCACCCTAACCTCTTTCAGTACGGCAGCCAGGGAGAGAGCAGTCTCGGGGGGCGGGGGGGAGTGCGGGGAGGACTCTCTGTGTCCTCCTAGGAGCTCTGCTCTGGCCTGACTCCCAGCAGCCTCACTTTTAAACTCTCGAGAAACCAAGAAAATAGGAACAGGTGAAAAGAAAAATGGAGTGTCTGACCTTACTTTTAAAGACACTTTCTGTGGGAGCAATAACATCACTATCATCCAGTAAGTATCTTCCACTTTAAGCTCAGCTCAAATTCAGACCAATGCCAGATATATCTGCCACAAGAAAACTGAGAAGCTATTTAAGGTACTACCTTGAATATATTTTTTTAAGACTCAAGGCAACTAATGGAACCTCCAGAATATTTGTTACCAAGTTTCCTGAAAGGCAGTCAAAATATTATAACTACAAATTTAGTTAACACTATTACAATTAGTTGTATCAGCTGTAGATCAGTTTTCTAAGAATAACTTTATGCGTTATGTACACTTTCTACCTATGAGAATATCTATAAAAAGAGATTCACTTTTTAAATCTAAGAAAATCAGATTTTTAATGATTTTTATAATATTATCAAAGAGTAATCTGGAAGAAATACTAATCTAAACTACAGTGAAACAATAGGCAAAACTCCTCCTCCTATGTCAGAATCTCCCCTGCACCGATCCTAATGAATGATAGCCTCAACTCTGGTATGATGATGGAAATCTCACTATTACAAAAGGTAAGCTTATTGGGAAGCACCGTTTACAAAGTGCCCTGCTATTCTGAGCCAAAGCCAGTAATCATTGTTTCTGATCTGCAAAATGAAAATGATGGAATTCTACTCCCTCATTCATCTAACAGATCATCTAAGAGCTGAAGATAGCTTTGATATCAATACCCAGACCATCCCTTCTCACCCGAATTCTTTATATCATTATATATGACAAGGTTTCTCGGTTCTTCTACTTTCTGGCTATTCTTCTAAACATAGTTTTTTTTTTTTTTTTTTGTCAGTGCCCCTCTTAAAAAATGAGGTATGCAAGAACAAATGGATATGATAGGATGGAATTAAATAGCTATATAATGAAATGGAGCTCTGCATGGCCCTGGATCATAACAATGATTTATTCGATACCAAATCCTTGGGCAAGAAGGTAGCCTCAATTACCACACTCTACTTGGGGCAAAGTGGGATCAGTTTTATAATAATGTTTTTACTACTCCATTTACAGAAAGGCACTACCATAAAAAGCTGGGACGACCAGCACTTTTTGTCAAGTGATTTCTTAAAAATTTGATGGTTTTGAAAATTGATGGTTTTTCTATAGCAATACTTATAAGAGATGTGATTATTAAAAACTTCATCAAAGATAAGCCTTTTGGGTTGTCAGCATAACTGGAAATGTTTTCTTGGCATGACATATGTATCTTTGAAATTGGTTTGATTTAGTGTGGTCTCCTTCAATAAAAATTCAGTATTACAATAAAACAAAACTTCATCAAAAGATAAAGCTTATGACCCCAAATTTTAAAAGATTTTAAGTTTCCTTTGCAATAATTACATTACCTGGTACCATAATCCACAACCACCCAATCTTTTGCAGTTCCTGTGATAGCATCATGATGTTGAAATAGTCCCAAATTTCGTCTTGCTTCTGTCAGCATCACATAATGGGATGACGAAAGAAATTTATTTATCTTGTACTGCTTAGCTTGTTTCAGGGCGAAATAGTAAAGAATTTCAGCAGCCCTAATTGCATAAAACAATCATTAATTTTTATTTCAAAACAAACATTTTAATTTACTACAAAAGAGGTATCAATGATACATTTTCAAACTTTAAAAAAAAAAGAAATCCATGATTTCAGTATGATCAATTTGTAAGACAAATATTGAAAACAGACATTTCTATAAAACCACCAAGGTATGCACCTAATACATCTAAATTCTTAAATATCAAAGAACACCATGTCTCAGTGATATAAGGCAAAGAAGTGAGTATCTGTTGGCAGCAAGATATGCCCATTTCCATGCAACACGTGAAAGCAATAAGAAGTAGCTAAGTGTTTCTGTCCTTTCATCTCCGCAGTGCAGACGTATACCACGAACTTCACCAGAAGGCCGTTTGTTCTCACGCGTACAGTGGAGGAGGTGGTGAGGAAGCGTGTGGCCCTGAGCGTCAGACTAACAGTGAAGGGGAGGAAGGGGACTGCAGCCGGCACTCAGGGACAGAGGTCAGCCTGAGGGCTCAACGACAGCAGACGCCAGCTACAGGGGATTTAGCAACGGCACCTGGAAGGCGATCAGTCACACACTGGCCTTCCTCACTTATTTTAAAGAATAAAAATACTTTAGCTTAAGAATAGTTTTGAGCAAGAACATTGGGGTTTATAACTTTCACCTTTAAATTTTTTCATCCAAGGATATGGTTCAGGATAGGCTTCTGAAAAGTTCTTTAAAAAGAGACACAGCTTGATGGAGTAAAAAATATAAGGATCCTTATGACAAACGTTAGGATGATGGAGAGAAAAATCAAGGCAGCACAAAAATGTATTACGATCTCAGGAAAAAAGAAGAGATTCAAAATGCTCTTTTTAAAAAACAATTCCTTTGAATTTTTGAAGACACTAAATAATCTCTACTTTTTAAAAACAGATAAAAATTTAATATCCACTTTTTAAAATTATAAGCCTTCTTGATGGCATGAGAATCACTATACTGAAATTAAGGAAACTATATGTATGTAGGCATACATATCCAGAGCAAATGTACATATACATACAAATATTCCAAATATTCCAAAATATTAAAAAAGTGGATTTTAAGAATTTTTTTGTACTCTTCTATTTTATACACCTATTTTTACAAATGAGTTGAGGATTAAATATAATTTTTATCACACAAAAGACTTAGTTTCAAATAAATTAATTACGTTTTGAAATTCAAATTATTGTATGGTTTATTGTTTTATTTTAAAGCAGGAGAATTTTCAAAATACATTACCAGTAGGAATATACTCAAGTAGTACCTTAAATAAGTTCAATAAAATAAGACTGAACCAATACTCATAACTTTTTGCCACCAAAAAATACTTGATACTTAAAAATTATGCAGTGGCCCAAAAGAATTTCTACATTATTTAGTTCTTGCTCTGTTCTTATCATAGATAAGTTTAGAATAACATAACAGATAACTAACATTCTATTGGTTAAGGATGCAGAAATCTCTATAATATATAAAACTTTTTTGTTATAAATATAATAATATACATTCATCTGGCACATTAATGACTATCCCCTCAAAGATTGAAAGGTTAGGGTTTTTTTTTTAATAAGTTACTGTTATTTTTTGGACACAGTATCACAGAAACAGTAAAAGTAATAAACACACACACCACTATACCAAAGTACAATGTTTCAAGAAATTAATGATTTTTAGAAAAATACTGTCCAATATATACCTAATAAATAGTACATAGAAGAAGGTAGGTTTCATATAACATTATTTTTAATACCAAGATTCATCATGAAAATTAATCATGATTTCATATTTTGAACTGAATGGACAATAAATTCATCATGACAGTTACTCTCCTGAGCTACACATATAGAAAAAGCCACAGGATTCTCTTGGGATGGTTTCTGAGCATCTAAAAACAACGAGACTCAGTTGTTTAGAGCAGTGCTCTCCACTATGACAGCCACTAGCCACATGTGGCTATGCACATTAAAACTAAATAAACTGAGAATCAGCTCCTCAGTCATGCTGGTCGCATCTCCAGTAGCCTAGCTAGTGGCTAGTGGCTCCACTGCTGCGTAAACAGTGCAGAGACGCCGAGCCTTTCTCACTACAGAGACGCCTACTGGACAGCGACTGAGAAGAACCGGACAGTGCAGGTTTATAGAGTGCTTTTATGTTTTCCTTATTGACTTTTTCTGTCTTCTCCATATCAGTTTACTTTTTCAACCAATCATTCTGCCTCCATCAGGTCCCATCTCTTAAATTTTCTGCTTTAAGCAGAAAACCGTATCTGTAGAAACGTGTTTTAAAACAAGAGTGGCGATGGAGTCCCCAGTCCTCCCAAATATGAATACAGCCGTCTCAGAGGACAGACTTTGAGGCCTGCCCCCGGCGGCTGAGAACCTGCCTGCTCCTTCTGACCGCTGCTCCCGCTTCCGTAACCCGGCTGACCAGGCTCCCAGCCTGCAGGTGCAGTGAGGCTGCCGAACGCCACTACAGTGCGCAGACAGTACAGGGAGTTGGTTAAAAAATATAAAATATTGAGTACCACTCCCAGAAAACCTAATTACACAAAATGTTTTTCCTTCAAGAGCAATACCCTTGTAAAAATCTGATTATTTCTGAAGGTATAGATCTGATTGCATTAAAATTTCACAATTACATTAAACACATCCTAACACATACAACATAAATGCTATATATTATGCAAAACTCTACAGACAAGTTATGATAACATAAAAGAAGTGAAAAAATAAATGCAGCTCTCTAAAGGTAAATGTACCTTAAATGGGATTCCAATATCCTATCCATTCGTTTGTAAAAGGGTCTGGATGTAAAATAGCCACTCCAGTAATGATCATCTCGGTCAGCATAAGTGAAAAAATCCCCACTTAGAACAGGGAATATTGACTGGCTATTCCTACTATTGGCTGAAGCTTCTTTTTCCAGTGCATCAAAATAATCTGATAAAGTCCCAAACTGTATCTAGTGGGGGAAAAAAAAAAGTTTACATTTCATTTATTCACACATTCATCTGTACCTTAAAATTACTTTTAGTGCTGAAAGGAGAAGTTCCTGATAAATATTTAAGCTCCAAATTAGAATAAATATATAGCTCAGATTTACTTAAATGCAGGGGGAAAAGCACTCAGTGACTGTCTTTTACTTGCATCAAGTCCCAAAAAACTAAGAGAAAACTTGCACAGGTAAGCAGTCAGAAGAGTTAATCAGAGCTACAAATGTGTGGATCTGAAAACTCCTTCTATATTTCTAGAATCTCCAAGTGTGCAAGGATCAGGCTACGGCCTAATCCAGAGATGAATGGCAAGAAGGGGAAAGAGCAAAAATAAAAGGCGTGTGTTTTAAGTACATGTTCCAGCAGTCCGGAGGAGCAGCTCTGTTAGCTGTTAAGTATTTCCACATATCATGTGCACATATCCTCCTCCAGCCTTCACTCCCCGGTCTGTATTCTCAACAAGGAGAAAAGAGAGACTTTAAGAACAGCAGGTCATTTAAAAAAAAAGGATTTTCTCTACCAGTAGGTAACAGTGAACAGAAGTAAAAAAGAAAAGCGGATGAGGATTGCAAGGTTGACTGCTCAAATGAAAAGGTTTTTCTGACTAATGACTCAAATTACCAGTACATAAATCCATTTTTACGATCTTAAACTAGTGTATCAATTAAAGGAAAAAAGAAATACAAGACCTCATAAACATAAATTGAAAGGTAGTGTTGCTAGAAGTAAATAGACAATTAAACAGGGAATGTGTTCTTTTTAAAAAGATGCTATTTTTTTTGTTTCTGGTCTTATATACACACACATATGTATGTGGCCAATGAGTTAATCTGAGTTTCTCCATAAGATGTAATGAAACCCAAATGACCTTTCTGGCCAACCCAGGACATATATACACACATACACAAACAGATATTGAGAGTCATTTAGATTCAATGTGGCAGAAAAATAATTAAAGTAATCAAAAAGAGTTAGTGGCCCTGCAGCAGTTACTAAGAGCAGCACAGAGCTGGGTCCTGATGACATGGGTCTGAACGCTCTCCACCACTTATCTAACACGTAGTTCTGAGCATATTATATAATGTCTCTGCACGTCTCAGTGGTACAGCTAATAGGAGTCTAAGTAAAATGCTTAGAAACATGACTGGCAAATAAAGGTATAAGTTTTGGCTCTTACTCCACCACTGCAAAGGCAAAATATCAACTGGAAACACAACAGTGATATTAGTAAGGCAAATATAAGTTTTCATAATCTGTGATATAACAAATTTTGTAAGAGCAAAATGGATGACTATTCCAAGTCCTTATGCTTACATTAAAGAAAAGCAGCTTTTTAAAAGTTAACTGTTTACATTCATTTCTGCGTGGAGGACAACCGCCTTAGGTTTTGTGCTGGTCTCTGCTGCAGAGTAGGGTGAACCAGCTGTAGGCACACACGCCCCCTCCCCGTGCCCTCGTCCCACGCCCAGCTCATCACAGAGCGCGGCTGCCCAGCAGCTGTCCGCTCTGCACGCGGTGATGTACACCTGCCAACGCGCCTCTCAAGCTGCCCCACCCTCTCCCTCCCCCACTGTGTCCACAAGTCCATTCTCCATCTCTTTCTATTCCTGCCTGCAAGTATGTTCATCTGTACCGTTAAGAAAAGCAGTTTTAAATTACATTATTGACTCTAATCTTGGCTTCACCAAATACAGGTTTTCTTGGGCAAATGAATCTATTTGTGCCTGTCTCCTCAAATATAACTACGTGCTTACCAGAAAATGCTCAGAGAATTAAATAACTGTTAAAATAAAGCACTTTACTAGAGGATATTAAGCCAAGTAGATAAAGAGAAGGATAAACACTGTATGACCTCACTTCCATGTGAAATATAACAAAAATAAACAGCTCAGAAAAAGAGAGCAGAGGTGGGGGCAGGGAAGGAACCTGGCCAAAGGTGGCCGAAAAGCTACAAACTTGCAGGTGTAAGAGAAGGAAGTACCAGGCCTGTAACACACACATGATGCCCAGTTAACACCGCTGAGTGGCACGCATGAACACTGTGAAGAGAGCAGACCCTAACACACACACATGACGTCCACAGCTAACACCGCTGAGGACACGCATGAACACTGTGAAGAGAGCAGACCCTAACACACACACACACATGACGTCCACAGCTAACACCGCTGAGGACACGCATGAACACTGTGAAGAGAGCAGACCCTAACACACACACACGACGTCCACAGCTAACACCGCTGAGGGACACGCATGAACACTGTGAAGAGAGCAGACCCTAACACACACACATGACGTCCACAGCTAACACCGCTGAGGGACACGTATGAACACTGTGAAGAGAGCAGACCCTAACACACACACATGACGTCCACAGCTAACACCGCTGAGGACACGCATGACCACTGTGAAGAGAGCAGACCCTAACACACACACATGACGTCCACAGCTAACACCGCTGAGGACACGCATGACCACTGTGAAGAGAGCAGACCCTAACAAACACACACACATGACGTCCACAGCTAACACCGCTGAGGACACGCATGAACACTGTGAAGAGAGCAGATCCTAACAGTTCTCCTCACAAGGGAAAAATTTTTTCTTCTTCTTTTATTGTATCCATACAAGATGATGGCTGCCAACTGAACTTATTGTGGTAATCATTCCACAATATAGTTCAGTCAAAAATTATGCTATTAATATACACCTTAAACATAAACAGTGATATATATCAATCATATTTCAATAAAATTAGACACAAATTAAAAAGTAAAGCCCTTTAGAGAGTTAATAGCAAATCAATCTCTCAATATACTTTAGTTAATATTTAATATTAAGTATTACTCCCCAATCTCATTACTAGGAAGCAGAATACACCTAATAGGAAGCAGAGTATGTGTGAACATACAAGAAATGAGGAAATGAGAGTCACAAATACAAGGACAGGGCATTATCTTCAGACCCAATAGGTACAGATGAGATCAGGGAAGTATAATAATGACAGTGGCAAAATACTCATTGATCTAGATATTTTTGAGTCTCACTTTCCTCATCCATACAGGGCTTCCCTGGGGGCTCAGCTGGTAAAGAACCCACCTGCAGTGCGGGAGACCTGGGTTCGATCCCCGGGTTGGGAAGACCCCCTGGAGGAGGGAAAGGTTACCCACTCCAGTATTCTGGCCTGGAGAATTCTGTGGTTTGTACAGTCCATGGGGTCACAAAGAGTCAGACAAAACAGCAACTTTCACTTTCACTTCGTCATCTATATAATAAGGGATTATTATTAGATAACAAAAATCACTTTCAGTTTCAAATGTTAGGGATCTGTGACATGCTAGAAAGTTAATATCAAAAACAGAGTACACCCTTTTTAAAATATTTCCGTTAATTTTTGGTACTACCCACAATGAAAATATTTTCTTCTTGGCAACACCCCAGAGCAAAGTTGATGTAAGTGACCTGATGAGCTTTCTCACAAACTTAAAGGACTGAAATATAATCCTCTATGAATGCTAGAGTAGTTTCAAACAAAAATTATTTAAAGTAAATTTCTCTATAGTCTCTTGGTAGCTCAAATAAAGTATTTGGGATACCAAAAAAATAACCAAACAAAAATATTTAAATGTTTTACACTAAAAGGCAACAAACAATCTTAAACTCCTCCACCAGGACAACATAAAAGGAAAGGTTACACAGACTGTTAATCAAGTCACGATCAGTGGCGAACCGGCTGACGGAGCTAGTCCAGCGTCAGTTGTTCAGTCACCTAAATCTAACTGCTTATTTTTGTTTGTCCTTTCAGTAGAAGAAAATAAGGTTACACTTTCAGCTGGATTAAGCAACTTTAAACATCTCACAGAGAACAGATACAACTAGACAAACAAGTTTTAATACAGAGAAAAAAATGTTTGAAGATATCTGAGGGCCCTCAAAGCAGCCAGGATCCAAAGGACAAAAATTCTTGAAATAAAGGAAATCAATAACCTCAGATATGCCGATGACAGCTCCCTTACAGCAGAAAGTGAAGAGCAACAAGAGCCTCTTGACGAAGGTGAAAGAGTGAAAAAGCCGCCTTAAAACTCAACATTCAAAAAATGAAGGTCATGGCGTCCAGTCCCACCTTCAAGGCAGACAGAAGAGGAAAAATGCAAACAGTAGAAGACTTTACCTTCACGGGCTCCAAAGTCATGGCAGACAGTGACCGCAGCCACGATATTAAAAGATGCTTGCTCCTTGGAAGGAAAACTATTACAAACCAGGACAGCATATCAAAAAGCAGACATAACACTCTGCTGACCAAGGTCCATATACTCAAAGCTAGGGTTTTTCCAACGGTCAATGTATGGATGTGAGAGCTGGACCATAAAGAAGGCAGAGTGCCGAAGAACAACCAATGCAATATTGAAAAGAATAAAACTAGAAGACTATCAGACAGTAAGATCTATCATAAAGCTGAAAGTATGCAACTAGTCAAATAGACAAAAGCGAACAGAAAATCTAGACACAGACCCACACATAAATTCATCTCCACTCATGATTAATAGTAAAAATGACACTGCATAAAAATGGGAAAACTATGGTCGTTTCAATAAATGGTGCTTGATATTCACATGGGCAAAAAGTATCTTGATTCCTCCCCTCAGACAATATACAACAATCTATTCCAAACATTATTAAAAAGCAGAGACTTTACTTTGCCAACAAAGGTTCATCTAGTCAAGGCTATGGTTTTTCCAGTAGTCATGTATGGATGTGAGAGTTGGACTATAAAGAAAGCTGAGCACCGAAGAATTGATGCTTTTGAACTGTGGTGTTGGAAAAGACTCTTGAGAGTCCCTTGGACTGCAAGGAGATCCAACCAGTCCTTCCTAAAGGAGATCAGTCCTGGGTGTTCATTGGAGGGACTGATGCTGAAAGTCAAACTCCAATACTTTGGCCACCTGATGTGAACAGTTGACTCATTGGAAAAGACCCTGATGCTGGGAAAGATTGAAGGCAGCAGGAGAAGGGGACGACAGAGGATGAGATGGCTGGACGGCATCACCGACTCGATGGACAGGAGTTTGAATGAGCTCCGGGAGGTGGTGATGGACAGGGAGGCCTGGCGTGCTTTGGTTCAGGGGGTCGCAAAGAGTTGGACACGCCTGAGCGACTGAACTGAACTGATTCCATACATACTATAGACCTAAAGGCTGAAGGCAGCAACAGCACTTCCAGAGTACAGCTTCCTAAGAAGGAGATTCTCATGACCATGGGTAAACAAAAGCTTCTTAAGCAAACATAACAAGCACTAACTGAAGATTCAATTAAAATTAAGAATTTCTGTTCATCGAAAGATAGCACTAAGAGAGAGAAAACACAGGCTACACAGTGGGAGATAACATTTGCATAACTTTTATCTGAAAGAAGACTCAATCCAAAATACAGAAGAGAAATATAAATGGTTAGGAAAAAGACAGATGACCCAATTTAATAAAATAATCATCAAAAGACTTAGCACTGCTCAAAAGAGGATACCCAAATGGCAATAAACTTAGGAAAAGAGACTCAACCTCATTAACTACTGGATATACAAAATAAAACCATCACATCCGTCATAAAAGGAAAAAAAAAGTTCTGATAATACAGTCTGAGTAAGGAAGTGCAGCAATTGAAACTGTCATAGGATGCAATATCCAGTGGGTCTACTCTGGAATGTTATTTGACAATATCTACTGAAGTTGAACCTTCGCACTTACACCCAATAACCCCAAACCTCCATTCCACTTTATGCCCCTATCAACTCATACACACACACTGCACAAAACGGTCAATGCAGTGTCACCTGTAATAACCCAAAGCTGAGAGCAACCCAGGTGTCCATCAACAACAGAGTGGATAAACGGTGGTATGTTTACCAACATTACATGATACATGTTACATGTAACACATAACAGTAGATGAATTTCAAAAACATAATGTGCAGCAAAAAAAAAAAGTGAGACACAAAATAACACATATTTAAGATTCCCTTCTCATAAAGTTCACAAACAGGCAACACAAATCACAGAGACACAACCGAGGAGAGCGGGACGGGGTGGGAGGGAGCAGAGAGGCCCAGCAAGAAAGGGACAGACACGCAGCCTGGGCTGACCCGTGCGACAGACGGCAGAGACCCACACAGACCTGTAACGCAATCATCCTCCAATCAGAAATGGAAAACAGAAGTGAGAGTGATGGTGACTCTTGTAGGAACTGGTAACGACTTGGAAGGCTAGAGATGTCCTACATATTGGATAGTGGTTACATGGTGGTCTTGTTTTTTTCTTTCAAATGAAGTATGTTTGGTTTTCAATGTTATGCCAATCTCTGCTATACAACACAGTGACTCAGTTATACATATATATATACACATATGTATATATACATATATATATATCTCCCTTTCAATATTACATGGGTGTTTTAAAACTTGAAAATATTCTCTGTATACTTAATGGTCTGTGCACTCCTATGTACGTGATACATTAACTTTTCAAATTACTTTAAAGATTTTTCTAGTGGGCAAAGGAGGAAACAGGTGAAATACTAAAGACAGGATTAAATTCTTCAGAGTCATGCAGTGGATCCTTCTGCAGACCTCAAAACTATTCCCCAAGAAGGTGTATTTAGAGATATATACACACACTCCTCTAATCAACTGTCCCTATATGCACTTTCTCTTGGAGGAAAGTACAGAGATGATTTAAATACAGATTCAATACTTAAAGTTTATATCATGGTTGAAATTCAGTTTTAACTATCTTGAATCACCATGATATTTTATTTAAGCTTATTCATCTGTTCAGTATTATGTAATTTTCCTTAATAAGCTTGAATTTATTTCCCACAGTTAATACCACTTCCTCTCTATTGTATTTTCACATTATTTTTACTGTCTAAAAGTTCTGTCTGTGAATATAATACACTTGTTGGATAATTAGCTTTCTCATATGGGGTCCAATACATGACTCTTGCTCAAGTCCTCACTCATGCAACCTGACTGTTAAAACACTTATGAGATGAGTAAACTTGGAATGTGTCTGGATGTATGATATTACCGTTAATCTTTTAGATGTGATAATCGTATTATGATCATTTTTTTCCACAATGTCCTTATCATTCGGATACATAATGAAATGGTTATAGATAAAAACACATGCCCTCTGAGATTTGCTCCAAAATTCCAGAGGAGTGAGATGACAGTGGCACACAGCGGAAAGAAGGCTGACCTTGAACTGATGCATGACCTTGAACTGATGCATGACCTTGAATGCTGTAGCTGTCATGGGTATTGGGAAGCAGTGGGGGGTTGGGGTAGGAATTTATGCTATTCTCAAAATTTTAGGGTGCATTTTAAATTTTCCAGAGGGGGAGAAAAAGAGCAAGAATGACAGACGAATGATTAATTTTAGAAGACTTCTCATCTAAGAAAAATGCGAGTGTAGTTTCTGGATACGACATTTGTTTGCAAAATTCTTGACATGTGCGTCTGCATCTGCCAGTCACACTACTAAATCACAGGAAGCAACTGAGAGAAACAGCAAACTTTCAGCGCTAGTAAGAAAACAGGACATCACTGGAAAATGAACATCACAACTTAGTAGGTATGTGTTTTCAACCACATAAAGTAATGCCTCTTTAATCCTCAATGAGTGGTAAGAAAGGGATAACTTTAGAAATGGAACTGTAATGTAAGACAATTTTCCCCTTCAGGAATTACACTTTTACAGAAGAACTACATATTCTAAGAAATAGTAGGATGCGGGACAAAGAAACAAAGGCTGTTGTGTCTCAGCCTCCTTTAATAATGAAGGCTCACCTTCAAACACAGCGTCATGATAAAGTATGTTCTCATTACCTGAACATTATACTGAGAATGAGAATTCATATAATCGAAAAGCAGCTGGTAATTCTTGAACTGATGATCCCATTCGGTGCGTTCAGTGTAGCGGAAGTCATCTCCCAGCGGGGCCAGGACAACTGCGGTACGGAAAAGCTTTGACTTCTTCCGATACTGGTCCAGAAGCATCTCGGCCCTGCAACAGGAAAAGGAGCGCTACTAACAACAGTGGGGCCACACATTACAAAGTGTGCTGTAGTAAAATAAAGTATCACATACTCTGCCTGTATCCTAGTTTAGCATGATTTACCAGGCAGATTTTTTTTTTAACTACTATACTCATTTTTATTATCCCTTTAAAATATTCATAAATTCTTTTCAGAGGGAAAACCCCCATAGCTTTTCAATGGAATATCCTTAGAGAAATAAAGTCACATGACAGCTTTGGCATACAAGGACTGACGGCGTCAGTGCCCTCCTAAAGGTCAGCCACAGAGACTGACTTCCAGATAGCCTGCATCATAAAATAATTTATTCTAAGAAGATAGGATTTCTCATCTACATGAACTCTGAAACTTGCTTTGACTTAATATCCCTTTCTCTAACTTAATCTAAAATTGCCTAATTAAAAAAATAAATAAAATTGCCTAATTAAACATAAAGTTATTTTGAATGAAGCCAATTATAGAATCATATTTCCTTTTCTAAAGGAAGAAAACCAACTCAGTCAACATCTTCCATCAATAATCTGAGTATCTGTTACAGTATCCTTCATACTGATCAACAGATACAGCTAAGGAATTGCATGAGCTATTTTGGTTTCTATCTCTCTGGGCCTTAACCGATGACGCAAAAGGACAGCTAAATACAATGTGCTGATAAGCTTCTATATTTCATTCACTTATACTCTGTAGAAAGCCTTTTGGGAGACGCTGAATTTGGGCCCCATTTGCAAAAGGCTGGGAACACAAAGTCAGAGGAAGAGCTTCTGAAAGTGAAGCTAAACAGCAGAGGGACCTTGAGGGGTTCCCCATGCTTCCAGTGCCAGAGCTTAAAAACAGTGACAGATGACAAGTGTGCTTTTCTACTCAGTGTTCCAATTTTCACTTCCAGGATTATCCAGAAGTAGATTCTAATTCATGATATAAAAATTTATGAAGAAATCTCAAAGAACATCAACGATGGAAAGAGGCATTTTACACAAACTATGAAAAAACATTGAACTAAAGTTAGAATCTCATATGCTCTTTTTATATTGATGGTCTCTGAAATTGTTCTTCAAATATTAAATTAGCCAAAGTTTAATAAGTTGGTGAGTAAAATACAACCATAATATTCTTACTTAACATATAATACTTAGTTTCCTGAGATAACCATTCAATATAGAACTTAATTTTTACTAGTAATTTACTAATAGTCCATATTTTCAAAAAAACAATTTTAAATTATTACTTATAATTAAAAGGCACACATACAATGAGATTAATCACATAGGAAGATGTATAAAACCTAAAGAAATAAGAGGAAAAATATGTACATAAATCACAGATATAATAAAGTATAAATGAGCATCAAGCTAGATCCTCCAGGCAAGCAGCACAAAAACGCATCCCAAGGCTTACGACTAGATACACCACGCTTTGCGTGTATATGTGTGAGACACAGAAGAGGAAAGCAAGGACAGACTCCAGCGAAGTGCCTTTTCTACACAGCAGCCATCCCGACTCGCACGCTCTTGCTCAGAAAGCGTCAGCTCGGGGAAAGCCAAGGGACCGCAGTGCCAACCTGCTGGGGGTGGACACTCGCTACACACGACAACCTGGTGACAATCGCACTGACCAGCATCACAGGCAAACGCATGCTGCTGCAACTCGCTCTGCACTTACTGTGCCGGGTAAGAAAGGGCAACTTGACTGGAACAAACATCAAATCACCTGACATGTAAATCATTACATACGTTAAATACACAGTGAGTGAGTTGCCAGTTGCTCAGCTGTGTCCAGCTCTTTCTGAGCCCACCAGGCTCCTCAGTCCACGGGATTCTCCAGGCGAGAATACTGGAGTAGCTAGCCACTCCCTCCTCCGGGGACCCTGCTGCCCCAGGGACTGAGCCCCAGTCTCCCGCACTGCAGGCAGACTCACCACCATCTGAGCCGCCGGGACAGCCCAGATTACATGGTACCGGAGCCAGACCAAACTGGATAGAGAATGGAGTTTCTCTCTCTTCACAGTAGAGAAACCTGATAAGCTAAACATACTGAAAATGTATCGCCTGCACATTATAGATAAAAGTCATTTTCTTTAAGGTATTAAAAAATCCAGTGCCATTAAGCTGGAATGCCCATGTTTGATCTCTGAACATCACAAGGAAGGTGACATCTGCATGGGAAATACCCAGCAGAGCTAAGACTTCAAAACTTACAAGCTAAACAAACAAACAAACAATCTATGTAAGCATCATATAGATTCATTCACCTCTACGTCCCTGGTGCCTGGAAGCCCTTTCAGAATCACTGGGACTGACTGAACACAGGTGTGTTTTGAGTGTGGTGGGGGAGGGGTGTTGGTATCTTTGAAGGGCTCCACAACCATCAACAGGATTGCACAGAATGACTCTCAGGCACTCTCAGCAGCACCCGAAACAGAAAAAGCGGGGCCTCGCACCATCTACGGGTGCGCGGGAATTCCCCGAGCTAGCCTGCAAGAAGTCTCCTGGTGCCCCTGACCACTGGAGTAAGAGGAGGTGTGCAAACCCCACTTAGCAGCAAACAGCTGTTCTCCCAAGAAGGCAGGCAGGGATCCCCCACCCTGACAACCCACCAGCACCCCTCTGCTACATAATGTGTTGGATTACCCTCTTACGGCTTTAAGAAGACTGCCGTGCTAAGACACTTTTGTGTCTGCCACAGTGAGAGGTTCACACTGGAATATTTCCGTTATGGCCACAAGGACTCACTCAGTGCAAGGAGACCCCAGATCATATCTTCATTCTCACACACACTTTTTTAAAACAGATTTTACTGAGCACAGAGCAACAATCTTACTTTATTTAAAAGGCTATATTATTTTTCTAGCAGAGTTGAGTGGCTTATATTACAACACAGTGTTTTATTTTAGTGTATTACATACCATTAATTTTACAGTGAAGAAATTAAACTTTTAAAAGCACCAGAATTAGAAGTATAGGTAGCTCGGTTTAATGAGATGCTTCCATCTTTAGGACAGTTTTCTTCTAGGAAAAAACAACTAATTCGTTTCCTGATTTTTAATTAACAATTTTTAAGAATAAATATTCCTAATTAAAGTTTCCAGTAAGTCAAAAATGTCAGAAAAATGCAAAGACATGTATTCATCAGAGCTGGGCAGCATTCACTATTACTAAAATTGTTATTAAGGGAACAGATAATTACACTCTTTATGTGATCCATTTCAATAAATGTGTTTTTGCAATTGGGTTGCTTTTCTTACCAATTTATACCATAGAGACCATAAGTTTTATTATCAACAAAAGTATATGAAATCAATCAAACACAGTAAGAAGCTTTTATAATAAAAGCAAAGAAGATCATAATAACAGTGTATATTAGATTATCCACCATACACTGATCTACTATTGTTCACTTTCCATTAAGTTATAACACAGAAGACAAACAGGCAAGGCTCTGGCATTTTTCAGCTGCTTTAAATCTCGTTTGAATAAATGCCTTGAGTAAGGATAATATTGGCTACCAAAGCCCATTTATGCAACTTTTCAGCAACAAGCCACTAATGCTTACTTGTTCAAGATGCTGACTTATAAAATGCATATTTTCATACCTGTTCTGGAGATTCCCAGGATATATTGTTTCTGGGGGGACTCCCCAGGGACAACCATATCTGCCTCCAGGAAGCCGTTTGAAATCAAACTGGCAGCATATTTTAGGATCAGGTCCACAAGTGTGGGGGATGTCATAACTGTAGAAGGGCATCATATGGCAAAAAATATCTGTGCCTGATCCCAGATCTACAACAAAGAGCAACAGACCTGTGTAAATTTACAGATTTCATCCCCAAACTTTCAAAATGCCAGTGCTTTACACATATGCAGTGCAAGCTCCATCCTAAAGCAACAACCCCTCTACTAGTACACACACCCCAGCAGCATTCAATGCCCACCGGCCAGAAGGATGATACTTGCATCTCAGTCTCTACCTACATCTTCTGTCTAAACTTAACTGAAACAGTAACGCCCCATCCTAAAGCAGCGTCTGCTGACCTGGAAGGATATAAATGAGCAGAAGTTACAACCAGCTCATCCAAAGTTACGGCCACCCCCGGCTGCCAGCGCCTGCCACATCTGCGTCTCCCTCAGGGAAGCGGGACCCTGAGAGGGACCCTTAGCTGCAGAGCCGGGAAGAAGACAAGAAGGCAGTAAAACCGGGAACTGGGAGAGTAAGAGACAGAGCGGGAAGGGCCTGTGAAAACACTGGGGAAACACTCCTGCAGTAATGAGAAATAAGTGCGCTCAGGAGAGTTTGTGGAGGGCCCCTTACCAATGAAGGGCCAGTTTGACTGTTCTCCTTGGAGGCAGAGGAAAAGTAAAAATAATTCTCAAAAGCAAAGAGAAGAATCAAAGCAAACAAAAAAGATACAGAAAACGAGTACTGGTTCCCAACACAGAATTGTTTTTAACTGAAACCTCAATGCCAGTATGTGTTGACATCACTGCCCTCGAGAGGTCAGAAGCCGCCCACAAAGTAAGATTGGAGGGCTTTAATAAGAGTTAAAAGTGGCTATTTTTTTTTTAATTCTGACCTGTAAATACCTCTTCTTCTCTACATACAGCTCTCCAGTTCTCAGCAATGTATTGCTTTTATAAGATAGACAGACAACAAGAAAAAACAAACAAGCACCATATACATTTAAAAAATTTGAAAAACAATTGCTTCATTAACAACCAGAACAAACAAAGAAGCTCACCTTAATTCCAAAACATCATTTTCAAGCAACATGTCCAAATACATTGGGTAGGTCCACCACACTATTTAGCAGCTCATTTACACACTTCAGTTTATCTGCTGCAATTGGTGGTGTTAGTCTTTTATCAAATTAGACTATAATTTTACAGGCAAGGATGTTTTCTATATTTCTTCTTAGCATAGTATTAAGTACATAAAAGTATTAATTTTATGCCAACTGATATTCATAAGCAATTTGAACGTAAGCAATAGTTTAAGTAGGGTTTCCTCAAATAAATAATCCTTTTTCTAAAAATATTAATATGCTACTAAGCATCTGGTAAATATAGGATGCAATCCCCCACAAGCTCCTCTTTTCCCTACAGGTCCAGTTTTCCAGGATAAGATAATAAGTCAGGCAGTTAATGTGTTTCCTTTTGAAAAAACAGCAGCGCACATGAGAAAGATACTGTCTAAATTTACAAACGATGCTACTGAAACACTTAATGAGGGTCTAGACCACACAGAGAAGCGAGTATGATGAATGCAGTAATGGCTGAACAGTTTTCATAATGAAACCCTTTATTCAGATGAAATTTTACTGACAACTTGATACAGTTGGCAGCAGATACTATAGGTTAGGGGGCCTAGTCTTTGGAAGAGCCCAGAACTGGGTTTAGATCTAGGCTTTGTACCTATTACCTGTATGATTTTTGGCAAATGGCTTCTCATTTTTGGCAAATGCCTCCACTTTTTCACCATTTAAAAGGTCCTATAATAATAGAATCCAACTTAACAATGATTGCAAAGGCTCAATGACAGAGTGAACATAAAGCGTGTAACACGATGCACGTCATAGGACTCAATAAATAGAAACATGTAAGCAGCCAAGGTGCTCTGAACTGCCTGGGGCTGGGAAAGGCAGAGGCCTCCCAGGAGGTCCGTGTCCTGCCACCCCTCCTCCAGGAGAGAGCTGGGGAAGCACATCCCTGGGTGCCCTGGGGAAAACAAGTGACGCAGGACAGAGGACAGCTGTTCCAGGAGGGCAAGATGCAGGTTTTCAAGGGCAGCTCTAACCAGACACACAGACAGGAGGGGCAGAGGGAAGAAACTCTGGCAGAATGTATGACTGGATAGCGGTTCTAAAGGGGATTCCCCAGCGACTCAGTGGTAAAGGATCAGCCCGCCACGCAGGAGATGCAGCAGAGCCACAGGTTCGATCCCTGGGTCAGGAAGATTCCCCTGGGAAAGGAAACGGCAGTGCACTCCAGGACTCCTGCCTGGAAAACGCTATGGACAGAGGAGCCCAAAAGGCTACAGTCCATGGGGTCGCAGACAAGTCCGACATGGCTCAGCGACCAAATAAGCATCGGTTCTAGTGCAATCGACCTTGTGGTAAAAATGGGTACATGTAAAACAGAATCAAATGAAACACTCTACCATGTTCTATAGATAAATATTTTTTACCAATGCTTGAAAGACTCCTGACACAATTACATTGAAAAAGTAATTATGTATATCTTTAAGCGATCTGATTCTCAAGACTGACAAGTTGAATAAAACCTGTAACAGCAAGAGGTCATAACCCCTGTGAAATAATATCTAGGTCAAGTAAGATCTTCCACTTTCACCTAACCCTACATACCCCAATTTTGTCTCCAAAAAAACTCCAGTGTTTTATGCAATGCAAAATGTTTTTTAACTGCATAATGAACTCTCTGAATAAGCATGTGAGAAAATCCAGCGCGTTTTAGAAGATAAGCCATCGTTGGTGAATGTCCAAATGGATCGACAGCCCAACCAGACCGAGGTTTCACTCCTGTCGATAAAGAAAATAAGTGTCATTTTTTAAATTGATAAATGAAGAAGTCACAACACATTCAGACCCACCTGAGCTCCCTGGTCTCCTGGTTCCAAGATAAAGTGCTGCCCAGACCACCCCTGTGAGACTCCCTGCAAGACGGCCGAGAGGAGGGCTCTGCCCGGGCGGTCCTCCCAGGCAGGGACCCACGCTGGAAGGGGGCCGGCCGGAGCGAACGCGGGAGCTCTGCCATCTGACAGAGGCTAGAAAGCTGCTGCAGCCAGCGGGGCCAGAGAAACACACAGGACCGAGGCACCGCACTCCAGGAGCCGACAGTCCTGCCTTCTGTGGGGCTGCGGAACCCTGCAGCCTGCTCTCACACAGCACACAAAACCAACCTGAGTCACTGCGACTTGTCCTCTCCAATCCCAACACTAGGGGACTTTAGGCTACCTTTTATACTGTTCAACAGTGCCAAATCATGTAATGCAGTAGCAGAACTGGCCAAAATAACTGTGCTGCTATGTCATTATAAATCTTAAGACATTCTGATGCTGGTACTTGCTATCAAGAAGGAATCAACAGAATTTTTCACACCTGACTCACACCAATTCTGGTAAAGGACTAAAAATATACCTCAATTTCACAGAGGATAACCTATAAAAAATCAACATAATAAATGCACAGGTTAGAATTAATGAAATAAGATTATTCATTGGGCAGTATGCAAATATTTTATTTATTCAGGATTCTCAAAGAAGGCTTCTATATGCTACCTATACACAGACATAAGTAATCTAACTGCGCATTTTTTTCACTCAAACACCTATTTAGCACTTTCCATGTACCAAAGGCTTGGAAAGGCCCTAGGACTACACACACGAGTTAATCTTGACCCTGATTACAGCTGTAGAGATGACCACACAGGCGTTCACATACAGTAACAGAAAGAGAACAGAGAGGAAGCTGCAGATACTGAAGATGAAGCCACAGCAGAGGCGGCCGAGAAGGAACAGCTGCGCTGTCGGAGAACCAAGAGCGGGCCAGAACTCAAAGGCTGCCGTACAAAGCTTGCCCATTGCACATATGTGATTCACCTCCAAAAAATTATAAAGAAATCTTGAACCTATTTAGTAATTTTGGGGGTTTTGTGGTGGAATAGGTTTAGCAATTCTGAAACTTTCATGAATTCCAAGACTGAGCAAATGAATTAGGTTAAAGTAGCCAGGTTTTATATTTTGAGACAAGGAACTACAAAATAGTTCCTATAAATCTGAGAGTAGAATGGACCCTATGATACTGAGTTGAAACAGGAGATAGTAATACTAACTTATGAATAAATATACAAATAAACACACAAACATATATATATATATTTAAACAAACTATACATATATGTGCATGTTTGTACACACACACATCTCCTAGCTCACAGCACTAGGAAGGCCTAGATGCAGTAATACTTCAGTATCAACTAGCAGAACTTTGCTCCTAGATTTTGACCTCTAAATGCTATGCTCTATAAAAAATAACCTCAAAGAAACAGCTTATTTCAGAGCTGGGACTGGGAAAGTACAAGATAACCCTAGAACAGATTCTTTGGGGCATAAAGGAAAGAAATAGCCAAAGAGTCATGGAAACACATTACATAAAAATAAATCAGGAGATAGCTTGAAGGGTCTTCCATTGGCCAAATGTGGGACAACTGGGGCAGCAAGATAAAGAATAGTAGTACTGGACTAGAACCCACTGAATAAAATAAAACGCACAAGCTCACAAATAAGAAATAAAAAAGAAAGCTCTTCCTTTTAGTAAAATGCTAACAAATAATTAGGTCTTCCCTGGTTCAGCAGTAAAGAATCGCCTGCTAATGCAGGAGATGTGGGTTTGATCCATGGGTCAGGAAGATCCCTTGGAGAAGGGAATGGCAACCCATTCCAGTACTCTTGCCTGGGAAATCCCATGGACAGAGGAGCCTGGTGGGCTACAGTCCATGGGGTCACAAAAGAGTCAGACGTAGCGACTAAACAACAACAAAACTAATAGTTACAGAAGGAATAGTGGAGTTAGAAAGTCATCAACAGATCCTAAAACTAAAATACTGATGTTTGATGAGGACTTTTACCTGTTCTCAATGTGTCTCCCACAAAGGGGGGATGTAAAGCGCAGGGAAGAAACTTAAGACATGACTGAGCACAGACAGCAGCACTAACATGGGAACAAAGAGATGGCATGCACTTTCTGATAAGATGCACTGAACCCACAGAAAATAACCGCGGTGATATTCTAGGAAAATAAATAGATTTGGTTATACTACGTAGATGGATCAGACAATAAATGATCTGGAGCTAATGATAAGGGAAAAAACTCAAACTGAGAGATGTTTTACAACAGAAGTCTGACCTCCTCAAAAATATCAAGGCTAAGAAATCCAGAGAAAGGCGGAGGGAGTGTTCCAGGTTATGGAGACAGAAAGACGTGACAACTAGAGGTCACACACGACCCTGGTCTGGGAGAGGAATAAACAGCAGCTTCTATTGAAGAATATTACTAAGACAATTGACAAAATTTGAATATACTGTGAACTAGATTGTGGTATCATTGTTAACACTCCTGATTTGAAAACTATTTTCTGCTTATCTAAGAAACCATCTCTGTTTCTTAGGAAATAACACAATGAAATACTGAGAGATGAAGGGACAAGATGTCTCCCACTTACTGTCAAATTGTTCAAAAAAAACACACATGTGAATCTAACTAGCCATCCCCTGGTATCCAAGGGAGATTGGTTCCAGGACTCCTAAAGGAACCAAAATCCTTGGATGTCAAGTTCCTTATATAAAATGGTATTATATTTGCATATAACCTACACACATCCTATTGCATATAAGCATACCTCAGAGATATTGAGGATTTACTTCCAGACCACTGCAATAAAGAGAGTATCGAAATAAAATGTTACCCAGTACATATAAAAGTTATGTTTACATAGTCTATTAAGTGTACAAGAGCATTATGTCTAAAAAACTGTACATACTTCAGTTAAAAGAAACTATATGCAGAGAATAGAGAACCCTTGCACTGCTGGTGGGAATGTAAGTTGCTACAGTCACTATAGTAAACAGCACAGAAAATTCTGGAAAAATTAAAATGAGAACTACCATATGACCCAGCAATTCCACACCTGGGAATTAATCTAAAGAAAACAAAAACACTAATTTGAAAAGACGCATGGACCCCCAGACTCACAGCAGCATTATTTACAGCAGTCAAGATACCAAAGCAACCTAAGTGTCCGTGAGTGGGTCAGTGGACGTACACATACCCACACATGTACATATACACACATACATATAGGTATGTATACACACAAATATACAACAGAACCCTACTCAGGCGTATAAAAGAACGAAATCATGTCCTTGTTGGCAACAGTTATCAGGCTTGAGGCTATTGTCCCTCCTAAATAGACAGAGAAAGACAAAAAATGTATGATTTCACTTACATGTGGAAGCTAAAAAATAAATGAACAACAAGACAGAAATAGAGTCATAGATACACAGAATAAACAGGTGGTTTCCAGAAGGGAGGAGACTGGCAGGAAGAAATAAATAGGTGAGGGAGATTAAGAGGCACAAACTTCCAGCTGCAAAATAAGTCATGTGATTCCATATTTGAAATGTAGGGAAATAGAGTCACAATGTTGTATATACATAACGTTGCAGATAAACTATACTTCAAAAGCAGCAAACTCAAAGAAAAAGAGATCAGATCTGCGGTTACCAAAGGTGGGAGTGGGAGAAGAAGGGACTGAATGAAGGTAGTCAAAAGGTGCAAGCCTCCAGGTACAAGATATGTAAGCACCAGGAATGTAACGCTGCAGGCCAGTTAAGTCCGATCCTTCACAACCCAAGGGTCTGCTGTGCGCCAGGCTCCTCCGTGCCCCCCTCTCCCCCAGACTGTGCTCACACCCATGTCCATCGAGTTGGCGATGCGATCTAGCCACCTTGCCCCCTGCTGCCCTTCTCCTGCCTTCAGGCTTCCCCAGGGTCAGCGCTCTTCCAGTGAGTCAGTTGGCTTCCGTTGCGGCTCAGTGGTGAAGAACTCGCCAGCCAGGGCAGGAGATGCGGGCTCAGTCCCTGGGTCAGGAAGATGCCCTGGAGGAAGAAACGGCAGCCCACTCCAGTATTCGTGCCTGGGAAATCCCATGGACGGAGAGGCCTGGCGGGTTACAGTACATAGGGCTGCAAGAGCTGGATGTGACTCGGCGACTAAGAAAGAGTATCAGCACTTTGACCAACCTCGCAACAAGTGTGCAGGAGTGTAAGTGCAACACAATCAACGCAGCGAACACTGCTGCGTGTCACACATGGAAGCTGTGGAGAGAGGTAAATCTCAAGGGTGCTCCTGACAAGAAAAACTTCTCTTCTGTTTAATTTTCTATCTGTATCACATGACACGTTCGCTAAACTTACTGAGATCATCTTTTCATGACATATGTAAGTCAAGTCATATGCTGTATACCTTAAACATAAATAATTCAGTACCTCAATCATACCTCAATAAAACTTGGAAGAAAAACAGAACAAAGTAAAACTTTATTGCTAAAATTGCTAACCATCCTCTGAGCCTTCTCCAAGTCTTGCTCCTTTTGCAATAGTAAAAGATCACTGATCACAGCTCACCCTAACAAGTATAATAACAATGAAAAAGTTTGAAACATTGCTAGAATTACCAAAATGTGACACAGAGACACTAAGTGAACAAATGCTGTTGGAATAATGACACCAACAAACTTGCTCAACAGGACTGTGACAAATCCTCAATCCATAAAAAACCTAGTATCTGTGAAGCATAGTAAAGTAAGGTATGCTTGTGATTTAACTCATATCCAGATTACACATAATATTTAAAACAATATAAGTGCTATGCAAATAGTTATAAATACAATGTAAATACCATTAGGATGGTGCAAAAGTAACTGCTGTTTTGCATTGTTGAACTTTGCCCATTTGATA